GTGATTAACATGGCATCCTACGATGGATCAGGCTTAGAAAACTTCTTGACGGAAGGTAAGCCTGTGTTTTAAATAAATTTGAACAATAATAATACATTGTAAAATAGTTTTAATTTACATTAAAGACTAGCTGTTGCTTGCGACTTCGCCCGCGTCATCATAAAAAATGTAGGCTATATTTTTTCAGTGAGTACATATATAGATAATATAATTTTTAATGGTGAAAAATTTTTTGTAATCGGCCAAAAATACAAATCTTATCTCTTTATAATATTAGTATAGATATCAAAAGTACATAGATAATAAATTCATTACAATTTAAATTTACAGACATCAAAACTCCTGAGGGTGTATCCGTCGACTGGGCTGCAAGAAACATATTCTGGACTGATTCGAAGAAGCTGTCCATTGAAGTGGCAAATCTCGACAGGAAGACTAGAAAAGTACTATTCTCCGTCGACGGCATCACCAACCCCCGAGGCATTGCTGTACATCCACAAAGAGGGTGAGTTTTCAAATTAAAATAATCACACAAAAACTAAGATTTCAAGTTTCATAATTAGGCTCTTTTAAGATTTTTAATACAATTAAATTTCTTCTGTTTTGTAGAAAAATCTTCTGGTCAGATTGGAATCGCGCTGGGCCTAAGATAGAGTGGGCCAACATGGACGGCTCACAGCGCGGCGTGTTCCTAGACCAGACGGACGTCAAGTTACCCAACTCGCTGGCCATCGACTGGGCGCGCGACCGGCTGTGCTATGCCGACGCGGGCCTCTTCAGCATCAGATGTGTAAGCATCGCCACCTCCGAGAGGGAGACCATCGCCGCCAACTGCTCACATCCCTTTGGCCTCGCCATCAGCGGCGACAAGTTCTATTGGACAGACTGGAGAACGTAAGTACCATTTTTATATAAAAACAATGAAATTATGAAAGAATAGCTGCTGCAGAATTAGAAAAAATGGTGAAAAGCATCTTACGTTACATTTGAAACTATGTTCTTTTCCGTTGCGTTTTAAAAAGGTATGATGAACAGTTAATAAGTTATCAAGTAAATTTGAGAATCGTATCCCACGGAAACCGTACACATTTCCTGCATACTGGGTAGGACTGATTTTACATCTATGTCAAATTTCACCGAAATTCATTACGCCTTACTTTAGATACATAGAAAAAAACATCCATCCTTCCAAAAAAATGTATTTAGTAGGATTATACGAAGGTAGCAACATCATCTCTACTGTTACAACACTAGCGCCATGAATAATAAATACAAGTTATTTCTAAGTCCCAACATTTATAGAATACAGTGTTTTGTAATAATAGTTTTATTTCGTTTCCAGGTTGGATATCGAATACATAGACACGGTGAGTCAAGTGAAAGGCCGTCTGCCGATAGCGGCGGCCACGCGGAGGCTGTACGGTGTGGCTGTGGCCCCCGAGGACTGTCCCACACAGACCAACGTTTGTCAATACAGGAATGGCAACTGTGGACCTGAACAACTATGCTTACCCGACGGCAGAGGCGGCAGAACGTGCGTCGACGGTGACAACACTAATTAAGAAATGCCAGACATACCAACCTACCAAAGAGTAGTTTTAGTAAAATCTACTAATGTAAATCTGCTGTTCAAAACGAATCGAAATGTAATGTAATATTTTATTAAGTTATTCTTTACTTAACTCACAAGTTGCATATATTATGGTACAGATATTTTATTTAATAAAAAGATAATAGTGTTAAGATCTTTATTGTATTATAATAGATTTAATAAACAGACATCAAAGGAATATTTATTTCACATGCAGTTCTTAGACATTTGAAACATTCAAAATTAGATTCTATTTACTAGTTGTTTTATTAAATACTTTTTAATTTGAAGAAAACGTTATCTGTAATGTAAATATACCTTTATAATCTGTATTGTTTTATTCTATGATTTTGAACTAAACAAAGAGTTTGAAAATTACCAAATGAAAAAATTTTACTAAATAAAATTACTAATTTTGCTAGTCAAAAATTAATGTTTCTTTGACAACCACATTCTTTAATAACAACATTGCCATTACATAATAAAATTTCTACTGTAACTTTTATAATGAGTTATCGAAAAAACATTAGACTTGCAATTTAAATATTGATTACATTTGCATTTAATTTTATAGTGCGGTTTAAAACGGTTTGCACTTTGTTTTATTGTTAAATAATTGTATTTTGTGACTCACTATAGTTAAACACTCACATACACACAACCGAATTTTACAAATGAAATCCATACAAAAATAAAAGCAATCTATCACATGAAACAAGTAAAATGGTATTTTTATATGAATTATATTTTAAACACGTTATTTATGAATATATAATGCGGTTATAACCACAGATTATATAATTATGAGTAATCTTATCCCCAAAGATCTTCAGAGCGACCAAACTTGAAAACCAACGAGCTAGCAAATATAAATGCATTCTGCATAAACAAGCTCACACCAGGCCATGTATGCTTGTTGCTACCTGGAAAAAAAAACAATTATTTCATCAAATTTACGAGTTAAACTGGAATTCATTACCTAGTGTGATTAAAAAAAACAAAGTAACATCAACAACATCTAAAAACCTCTATGCCAAATCTAATTAAGATCAGTTCAGCTGTTTACTAAAAACTCTAACAAACATCCATCCATATAAACTTTCGCATTAACAATAATAGTAAGATTTCTAGCTGAACACAATGAAAACATATTTTACTGCATTATAAGCACACAAGACTTGTTATAGGGGCGATGAATATTAGACTCTCTTATTGTAAAACGTACCAGCATTAACATAGTTAGCAAATAAGATCCAACAGGCTGAGATGAGGGAGGCAAATCCGACAACAAAGCCCAGAAACAGCCAGAGACGAGAACCGCGGGGGCCCATACAGCCACCCGTGTATGTGTCACCACGGACCTGGAAACAAATTAAATTTCGTCAGCTATAAACATTTGCACTGGACAACTTGAGACAATGCTAAAATAGACAGCCCGTTAATTACAATGCTCAGTGCAAATTAATTTACTTTAAACATTCTTTTTTCACACCATCATCTATACTGAGGAATTTAAAGCCTACCTAAAGTTAGAGGAGTGACTAGGCCTTATTCAGTTTCAAAGACTAGAGCTGTGTAGGTTAACTTCATACATATCTTTGATTCCTTTGCAGATATGTGCAGGTTGTATAGCATGATTTCCTTCACTATATAAATTTCAGATAAATGTAACTATGAAATTTATATCAAAAAACATATCAATCATTGGTGGATTCAATGATATGTAGATAAAAAGTCAACTACTTAACCAAAGAGTATATTATATTATTACTAGCTATTGGCTGCAACTCCACACATATAGAATTTAAAAAAAAACAAAAGTGCATAGCTTATGTCATTGAAATCTGTTCAGCCATTTAGGCTACAAACTCTAACAAATATCCATCCATCTAAACTTACTTTTATAATGTTAGTATGATTTTAATTTAGTTACATGCAACTTGTCCAAAAAAGCTACTATAAAAATATTATTTTATCCACTCACCTGAGCATTGGTAACAGAATTAACCATTACAAGAGAGAGTGTTGCCATAACACCGCACACATGGGAAGCATTTGGGAGGTCTCCGGGATAGACTGACGCTGCATCTATGATGAACCACCAGCCCACAAAGAACTGTAACAGTTCAACCATAACAGAATTTAAGAAAATGTTTCTTGCTAATTTCTATCTGGACAATATTCTATGTTTCAAAGATCAAACCGAGTATGAAGTCCACCTCCATCAACTTTGCACCTAAGCATCTGGACTCAAAAGTTCAGGCTATATTTTCTTACATAAATAAAGAGCCGACTATGAAGAAAAGGAAACTGACACCAATTGACGTTTGCCACATCAGAGCAAAAATTAATTCAACAATGATTATCTAGTAAATTTACAAATTTAATGTAGAACTTTGTTTAAACAAAGAATTGCTAAGATAAAGATAATAGATATAAAGATAGAGGGATTGTTTTCATGCCCTATATAAAATTTTAGATACACTTGCTACAGCAAACAGTACTTCTGCTACAAACAAAAATCAATAATTTAAATAGCATATTTTTCTAAAATATTATTTCATAACAATAGTGAATGTCCAATCACCAAATCTACAAGATAAACATTCACAAGCTAAACCTGTTTATTTGTTTTATGATATTTTACAGGACATCTTATTAAAATGATTTTTAGACTCATTACTCTTTTACGGTATCTAAGGCACGATAAAATTCGATAATAACTGAATATTCTCTAAGTAGAAAACACAAAGAGGTAATCACACCCATTTTGCTACTAATGATTCATGCAAAATACGTACCAAAATACCAGCCACAATTGAAGCTATACCATTTCGTTTGTCGGCCCCATCAAACCACACGCAGGTAGGTAAATTTAAGTTCTCAAAGCAACTCATTTTGAATACTTTAATGCAAAATATTTACTATTTGGAAGTGTAATCAATAAAATTTAGAAAGCAGGCAAACTGCAGATTGTAAAAGTAAATAAATTTGACAAATGGAGGTGACAGATCGATAAAAAAGTCAAGTTGACATCTTCATACATTTTGTTGTCATGATGACAAAGGTCTTACCATTTTTCAGCCTTGCTTTGTGGTGCGATCAAGGTTTTATAAACTGAATAAAAATATTTTTATAACAAGTAAACAAAGCACCAAAATCTATACACCATAAAAGATAAAATTTTAATGGCAAATAGGTACATGTTTTCCTTAATAACAGGATATTACTTTTTTCTGCTGTTTCAGTGACCCTGTATCCAAAAAGAAAAATTACAGTCAACGACGTGTAAGTGAACTGCAGTGCAGATATAGTTAGTTAAATCTAGCAAATCTAACGAAGCAAAGTAATCCCAGTTTATTTACTCTAGCGATGGACAAGGGTTTTTTCAGCGGTTTTAGATCAATATTGCGTAGAAACAAAATGTTTATCAAGTTGCAAAATCGAATACTAATCGCTCGTTTATACATTTAGTTTTAACTGCACCTGCAGTCAATCAAACAGTACAGTTCTGTTTTCAAACGTTAAAACTGAAGGTGCAGCTTAAAATGGTTGAACATGCCCATATCTCTCTATGCCATATGCTTTATTTATTTTATACTTCATGCGCCTTTTAATTTTCTAAAAGCTGTTAAATTAGATGGTTTAATACTTAAATATAAAAATAAAAGTCAAAGATCCTTAGAAAAGAGCACATACTTTATTAAAGACAAACATATACGAAATAATTATATCTAGAAAAACAACAAAAAGGCAGTGTTTAAAAAACTTTTCATAGTTTGAGACGAATAAAATGAGTATTTAACTACATTATACAAATTTTAAAAAGAACTTTAAATACAAGTTTATTAAAAAAGTAATTTATTGCAGTCGGCGAACTTATATCTAAGAATAATTTCCGTCGCGTGACTAAAATGGAAAATACTGTAATTTCAATAGTAATGTTTAATTATGGCAATATCCCTCGTTCTGGTAACACCACATGGGCTCGAGCGATTCCGGTTTGTATCCCATGCGAACTAAACGTTCTCTGTAACGACAAAAATAATATTAATCCATAATAATAATGGGGCGATTACGCATTTTTTTTAATTCTATTGGTATCTATGAACGTCTTGCTGCATTGATATTGTGGCAACACTTTAACTTTTTTGTGACTCCATTAATCCGCTAGGTTAATAAATTAGTTTAAATAAAGTAAGGCTTACAATCCTTAGCCCCACATAGATAACACAAAAATTTGATAGTTTTTTTTACTTTAAATTTAATTTTTAAACTCCTCTTGATCATCGGTCTGCTCCCCCTTATGTCCGTCCATGATAGACGGGCATCCAAGGCAGTCGGAGACCAAGTCGAATTTGAGGTAGGGAAACAAGGGTTACAAATAAAGTGCAACAAATTAATATAATTGAT